TTTTTAGTAGAGACAGGGTTTCACTATGTTGGCCAAGCTGCTCTCAAACTACTGACCTCATAATCTGCCTGCCTCAGCCTCCCAAAGTGCTGGGATTTACAGGTGTGAGCCACTGTGACTAGCCAAAACCCCTTATCTTAACCTAGATCCTCCCTTCTATTGATTCTAGGTCTTTAGACAGTAACAACTCAACCAACTGACAATCAGAAAATCTTTAAATCTACCTATGATCCGGAAGCCATCCACTTCAAGTTGTCTTGCCAATCTTACATATACTGATTGATGTCTATGTCTCCCTAAAATGTATAAAACCAAGCTGTAGTCTGACCACCTTGGACACATGTTCTCAGGAGCTTCTGAGGACTGTGTCATGGGGCAATGGTCGCTCATATTTGGCTCAGAGTAGATCTCTTAAAATATTTTACAGAGTTTGAATCTTCATTGACACTGGAAGTGGGATAGCCTATGTGGCTGGTTGGGGAAGCATATTTAGCTCACTCTGGGTCATCCCAAATTGGAATTAGGTACAAAGATTAAGGAAGCTGGTAGTTACTGACCAAGTTCTGACAGTTTGGGCCTATTGCTACAGAGGTCATGGGTCAGAGTTCTAGTTTCATATATGATCTGGCCATTGTCCATCTGTAGATTCAGTCTTTCATTATTCTAACACAGAAACTGGTACCTAGAAGTGAGGTGCTGCTGCAATAAAAACCTATGCAGCACTGCCTTAGTGATACTGCCTTAGTGGTCAGGCTGAGGGCTGAAAGGAAACAGATACCAGAAGCTGGAAAGATGGAGGATCATGTTTTATAGCGGCAAAATATTTGGTAAGGCTATTACCTATAATAACTTTTCATACAACTACAAGGTCAGTGAGCATACAAAGAGGCTACTGACCTTGCAATCTTATTAAAAAAAAAAGTTTGGAAAAGAGGATTTTGGAAGCAAATATTGACTACTATTGTATATTTGGCAAAGTAGTATAAGCAAATGATGAGCTCAAGAAAGCAGCAGCAGATTTCAAAGAAAAATAGAAGGGAATAGAAAATGTTCAGAAATTTAAACTCTCAAAGGATTGGAAAAGCAACTTGCACCTAGACCTGTAGAGGCAGGATTAAAAGACTGAGTACAGATACCCACTGAAAACTCTTAGCTAACTACTACTTCAGGGGTAAAGAACACCTTAAGGATGTAGCCTTCCCGTCTAACCTAATGAGTAAGACTGGCCTCAAATAACCAAATGAGTAATAATCCAACTCAAAAAAAAAAAAAAATTTTTTTTTCTTAAATCATCTGAAGTTCAGACTAAAAAACTCTTTGTGTATACAAAATTTAAAACCCTTTGACCCCCAACTTCTAAGAACAACAAGCTAGTTGAGAAAGATTTGTACTTTCCAAAGGGAGGACACTCACCCAACACACACTTCACAGGTCATAGAAAACAATGAGAGAGTTCCTTCCAAATAAATCAAGGTCCAATCTCCCCTACCTCCAGGACTGGTTGCTTACACAGAATCTGCTGCTTATCTCTCATTATTCTCCTTTTCTAGGAGTAGTGCTTACTGTGGCCTTCCTAGCAGTATTCTATTCTTGTGTACTGTGGTGAGTGAGGGGAAGAGAAAAGGAAGAAAGATAAGAGAGAAAGAGACACAGTGAGAGAGAGACAGCAAGAGAACATACAAGTGACACACAGGACACATTACTTCACAGGTCCCTGGAGCAAGAGGAACCATATCTGGACCTGATTACGAGATTTGGACATGTGGACCAAAGGACCTATGAATCTTGCCTCTATCACTGATTAGGGCCCTATTTGTTAGCAAAAGAATAACATAATACCAAGAACATCATTTCACAGTAATAGCTGTCACGTTTCTTTTTATTTTATTTTTAAATAGAAACGAGGGTCTCTCATCTACATTGACGAGGCTGGTCTCAAACTCCTGGCCTTAAGCGATCCTCCCACTTTGGCCTTCCAAAGTGTTGGGATTACCGGTATAAGCCACCATGCCTTGCCAATATCATGTTTGTTTGAGTCTAAGCATGCTGTTCTACATTTTAATATTTCTAAAATTTAGGGCCAGGTGCAGTAGCTCATGCCTGTAATCCCAAAACTTTTAAAGGTTGAAGTGAGTGGATCTCTTGATCCCAGGTGCTTGAGATTAGCCTGGGCAACAAAGTGAGACCCTTTCTCTACAAAAAATAGAAAAAAACAAATAAACAAAAAACACAGCCAGCTATGTTGGTGTGCACCTGCAGTCCCAGCTACTGGGGAGGCTAAGGCTGCAGTGAGCCGTGACTGTGCTCCAGCCTAACCATCACAGCAAGACTCTGTCCCACAAAAAATAAATAGAGTATATCTTGAGATCAACGTTAAAAGAAAATTTCCAGGTCCAAAGCAGAGAAGTTCTGGAGTAGCAGTCATTGCACATGCCTAGCTTAGCCATAAATAAAAGGCGAAATCTCCTTGTTACCTCAATTGTATTATTTTCTTTTTTTTTTTTGAGACAGAATGTTGCTCTGTGGCCCAGGCTGGAGTGCAGTGGCATGATCTCTGCTCACTGCAACCTTCACCTCCTGGGTTCAAGCAATTCTCCTGCCTCAGCCTCCCAAGTGGCTGGGATTACAGGCACACGCCATTACACACAGCTATTTTTTTTGTATTTTTAGTAGAGATGTTTCACCATCTTTTTTTTTTTTTCTTTTTTTTTAAAGACGGGGTTTCACTGTGTTGGCCAGGATGATCTCAGTCTTTCTGACCTTGTGATCCGCCCGCCTCAGCCTCCCAAAGTGCTGGGATTACAGGCGTGAGCCACCATGCCCAGCTACTCCATAACTTTCAATGATTTTTAACCTAATGGTTAAAAGTAAGAGCTCTGAAATCAAACTGCCTGGGTATGGCAAATCTCTACTTTTTTTTTTTTTTTTTTAAAGTTCAGACCCTCATCAAAAATACAAACAACAAACAAGTATCATTGATTAGTTTGTCCAACGTAGGAAAAAAACAGGTACCATTACATAAGATTGGGTTGAATTAAGTTTATCAGAAAGGTACCCTAGCTGGGTGCAGTAGTGCACCTACAGTCCCAGCTACTTGAGAGGCTGTGGTGGGAGGACTGTTCAAGCCTAGGAGTTGGAATCCAGCACAGGCAACATAGCGAGTCCCCATCTTTTTTTAAAAA